CAATGCTCTTGCCTGCCCGCTTTGTAGGCACACCTCAAAGCCCTCGTCGAGTGGAAAGAGCAGTGACTCAGGTGAGACCGCACGTGTTCTAGCACGCTTCTCTGCGCCCACCACCTCCACCACCACGGGCCAAACATCCACATCACAGCCCTTGAGCACCTGGTGGGGCGGTCTCATGACCACTGTTTCAACTCCTGCCCGTTTGGTTATTCCACTAACTGGGCAGGTTCGAGCCCCCTTACGCTTGCTACGTTGCCACTCAATTACCACCACGACTTTAACACTGGACAATACCGGTGTCGTTGTGGTCAGCTTAAACAAGATCATCCCCAATCAAAGCAGGTAGTCGCTGTGTTTAAGCCCTGCGCAGCCTTCACAAACAAACCCTCACTACCACTTCTCAAATCGCCTGCGCAGCCAATCGATAGTATTCATCTAGTGACCACCAAACGAAGGTGATTTTAACTGGCGTCAATTGGTCAGTGATTGCTCCACGCTAGATGAGAGGATACCAGCAGAGCGGGCCACTCCGTGCAGGTTTCATTACTGGGCGTATCGATTGCACTTATGAGATGCAACTGAGGTGTTGAGGCGACATCACGGTGTTGGCAGTGTCCACCACCCAATCAATAGTCGTCGTCTGTAAACGTGACACCTGCAGTGCGCAAACGGCCTCGGCCTCTGACCAATCAGCGAGAACCCCATGACGCGTTCACTGCCCTAGGACACGTTGAAACCAAAACAATTGGTCCAATCGACATGCTTATGAGTCATACCTCTTAATTGAGCAAAAAGCAGAGTTCAGGCTGAATTCGCCTACCAACTAATCTGGTATCAATTCTTCGCAATATAGTAGTAGTTGTTATCGTTGACACGCTGCCTCAACTGGTAAGGACACATACATGCCTTTTCCACTGGCTCAGTTCCCAATCTCTCTCGGGAGAACATATTTGAGTTTTTGCCACAACGTAAATAATTCCTCTAGCCTGACCAGTAAACCCGTCACCCTTCACTCGCCGATTTTCATTGCAACAAAGCACTGTCTGTTCAACTCGAGCACACCCGAAACCTGCCTGTTTGTCTACCAGCAATCGATCGATATCCAGGCCAGTCTTGATCCTTAACCTCTAGCCCAATCTGCCAATCGAAGGTGCAGACGAGCTGAGCCAATTGTGATTGGTTAATCAAAAGGAATTTTCAGGGTCATCCGTGTACCTCAGTCCCAACACTTTCAAAAAATCTGCAAATATTTTAACCATTAACTGTTTACAGAGTCTAATATGTAAATTCGTTGGAGAGTAGCTGGTCAAGGTCACTCGAACCACTTATCGTGTGATTTTAGTTTCGATTGCTCCAAGACGACGTTATATCGGATGTGGATTTTTTAGCGCGAACTCAATTTAATTGATTTTCTGCCATCTGTCTTCGGCATACACTTCAAGATTCACCAGATTTGAGTCCACTGTCCGGAATCGTTGGTCGGTTCGTCTTCCTGGACGATATTTGAGAGACTTGCAATATCACGACAGAATACTTCAATACTTCATTGTCGGGGTAATTAAGTGGTTTGGGCAGTCATAAAGTTTAAAATAAGCTAACCAGAATGGATAGTTTGAAGGGGTGAAGAGGTGGTCTTATTCGGGCCCAAAAGCTGATAATTACTTGCATTTTTGCTTGCGTTCGATTTTCAAATGGCCGTTAAACGCATCTGCTTATGCTAAGGTTAGGAAATGTCTGGGATGCTGAATTTATTGGTTAGAAGGCCACTTACCTCAGCACAGCAAATAAACACGCTGACTCATACACTCGAGTGATGGTGAAAGCTAAGTTCGCAGATGCTGGTATCTTGCCCTCCAAAAAACCGACTGTGTGCGGTTTATCGGTGTTTTTAAATAGTTCAAATCATTTGTGCTGTCAGCATAGTAGCTAGATCAGGATTAAGTATCTTAAAAATGTGCAGGAACGAGGACTGCATGGGGTGGCTTATGATTTGAGGACTCTTTTGTTTACGCTCGGTTGCAGCGAAGGTTTGCAGCATCTTCTAATCACACTCCTATCTTTCGTTTGTTAATTAATATTTTCCGCTATCAGACTTAATTACAGACTTGAGACAAGTCGTCTGCTTCCTGCCACATAATGGCCTACTTGTAACCTCTGTCGTCTGCCCGTAAGTAGCCATTTTTATTGAGCAAATAAAAAAACGATACTTGTAAGTGAGCTCAGCCGAGAACAATCGATCGATATCCAGGGTAATTTGCTTTCAATTCTCGTCCTAACAGCCAATCAAAGACGTACATGGAATGAGCCAATTATGACTGACCGACTACGCGCCCATTCCGAACTTTTACTGTCGTTTGTTTACCCATGTCCATGCTAGCTGAAAATAACACCAAAGCTTTTAACCCATAAAGGCTTATTCGTTCACGTAAAAAGCCTCTCAACACGCCACAGTTTCACTCTTTTTGCTTACTAGTTTGGCTAGAGTTGGATAGGTCAAATTGCCCATCAACGTAGATCAAACGCGAGCCATCAACGATGCTATTAACAACGCGCGTTTTAGAAGTCCTAACATTTTCGGTCAATTTGAGTGTAACGTTGCCTTTTAGGAATTCGGTCTACTTCCAAATGTTAAGTGCTTCATTACCAATGTGATTCACAGATCAAGATTACCGTGACCTTTTAAACTGGTAGTCGTAAATATTTTGGTTCGTTTTCATCTTAAAATTCACACACCGACAGACCTCCCAGTAATTTCCATCGTCCGCTTTGATCCAGTGGCACGTTCAAGAACCAGGTTTGCTGTTTTATGCAGGAAACGTCGAATGTGCTTGATTTTACTCTAACAATAAGCCGAAACAGTTTTTCCGATGTCTATTGGTTGAACTCGTGAAATGATAACACTTCTATCAACAAAAATGTCGTATGACCAGCAACAGTGCCATTTTTTCTCGTAATTCAATCCTTCTTCTTGGTTCTTATTAGCGAGGTATTCAAGCAGCCTGTTAATGATGTACGGTTAAAGAATGCTTCAACCATTTGCGCTCACCGACCTGATGTATTCACTACGTCACCAGGAGGTTTGGGTCACGATATTAAGAGCAAAATTGACTTCAAAGTGCGCGGTTTTTACGGCGTCAGTTAAACACTTTTATGGCGTCATTGGACCGACGACCATGATGTCTTAAAGTGACTTCAAACTCAGGAAGTAAAATCTCATTGAAATGGCACGAAGTAGCTCACTGATGGCTAACATGAAACTACCGTTTCGCGCTGGTTTTTAATTAACAACTACACCGTTTTTAAGCCCCGCACTCTAGCTACAACCTTCTCTGGTTGACGCAATGATCGACTTGGCTGTAAGCCATTAGTTCCGTTTACACACGCTGTGCAGGTGTGAATGTGTTTGCGTTAGACCGTGAACTCTTGATCCGCCTTTCATGCAAAATGCCACATTTTCACATGCATTGTACAACAACAACGGTCATCGCAGTGGACGTGAACTAGGCACTTCAACAACCTTGATGAAGTTTCAAATAATCTGTCTCAGATCATCGTTCGCAAAATTGTTGTCCAAGTTCTGTGACGAAACCGGTTGAAAGCAAAGTCAAAATGGGATGCGTGAAATTGATAACGCCCACGCACCCTGGAAGCTACCTCCCGCTGCTAGCCAATCAGATATCGATTTACTCACCGCATTCTCTGATCACTGATGCCATTCGAGCCTACACAGGGAAGATTTTAATACAATTAAAATGTCACAACAACGTGACTCAGCGCAATATTTTTCAGTCTTAGTGTATAAAGGAAGTCCAGTGACAGGAACATTGTTACTGGTTAAATGATTGTCACGTAGTAGAACTTGTGCGTCGCAAATTGTGTTCTAAGATCATCTCAGAGTGGAAAATGGGAAGTATGATCACAAAAATAGATAGAAGAACACTTTGGCCACCAGCTACGACACTTTTGGCGGAGAAGGCGAATTTTTGACATCGCTAAATGCCTAAACAACTGAAAAGTATCTCAGATTGTAAGATAGACCATTAGACGCGAATATTGCGGATCAACAATCTTCTAAAACCGTCCTTGAGATGAAGACACCATCGTCGTTGTCTTCTCTTGACACGTATTCAACGCGAAATTTACTGCCGACCAGAGTGCCGTGTGGGCAATTTGAAAGCTCCTCTGCCACCAGCATGAAGGGGAATTTAAAAGTACAAACAAGTTCGCCTGCTGCAGCACATGAGTGGTAACAGCAGGGAGCAGCCAAATGTGGGAAACATTTGCTGCGCGTCAGCTGACTGGAGGAACACGGACGGAGCAGGTGGGGTGTAGATAATGAGCCAAAGTCGAGACCCGAGTGACGCAGACGTCTTAATGACAGCAGGCATTTTAAGGCTGAAAGCAACCTTTCAGACTGAGGCGTTGGTTCTTTTGATGGCTGCGTAAAAGGCCAGATTGATGGGAATTGACTCCAATCAATTGTGGCCGATTAATCACAAAGCGAGACAGTGTTAATTGGGAACACGCATGTCACTGCAATCTGAGCTCGTAAACAGACCAACGTTGACTACACTACCTAATAAACCGGGAAGTTCCAAGTTTATTGACGTCATTTTGGAGTTGCAAGATGAAGAGGAAGAGGAGTCATGCTGCACGGATTGTGAAAACTGTGAATCCGTAACAACCATTTCACCATGATAATGAATGACGTAGCGACGTTTTTCAAATGACTGCTTGAGGATGCCGCCACTTATTGCATGTGGAAACGCTTCAACAAGTTGATTCTCATTGGTCAAGATCCTATCCACCTACCTTGATCATTGAGACAACCGAAGATCTGGTGTCAAACTCATTTAACCGATGTGGTTAGGCGTCCAGTTTCCTCCCGAAAGCGCGCTCACACTGTCATCACGAAAGGCTGTCAGTGAATCAATGAAGTCAAAATTGCCACTTTCAGCTGTGGCGCGGATTCAGAGTTGACCACTTCGTCTGGATCGTCATCAGACACTTCCGGATTTGTTGTGTCTCAGTGGCTAAGTGTTAAAAGTAGAAGGGGTTTTTCAAAGTCAGGCAAAATCGTAACGAAAATGAAGAGGTGGCGAACGGACTTAAGCCTCAAGCCTTGCCGTGACCTCCAACTGGATCATGTGATCACTCCTAAAGCAACTTGCACTTTTGCAGCGGTTAAACAACCGTGACGGACACGCTCACGCGGAAGGTCGACCACATGTCCAGAAAGTGAAGCAATCACGACTACCGCTCATCTGAGAAAACCATCATGTGATGGCATATTGAAGAACAGGAACAACAGCAAGCTTACCGCCTTCATCAAAAGAGGCCAAAAAAATTGCACCATGGGAACGACGAGGATGGCAGGACCACCGCGCCGAGAAACGCGCTTCACGTGACGCCTGAGCGGCATAACAGCAACCATGGCAGTCGTGCTCACAAAGCCCGCGTGAGTTGAACTCATGCGCTCACCAACCATCACGCCAGTCCGATCGATGCGACACGGGAAAAAAGACAAGAAGTCGGTGCTGCGCGCTCATTGGGCGATAAGTTTCATGGAGAACCGGTAGCTAAGTGTACTCTAAATTCAGAGGTAGGAGCATTGGATTGGGATAATGTCCAATTCACATTATTTCTTAAATTGGCGTTTTTTCGACATTATGCCCCAACTTTGGCAGTGATCTTCACTCAAACTCAAGTTGACATCATTGGTCGCTCTAACTTCGATTAACGTGACCTTCTCCAGTTCAAGCAACTACTACTGTGTGCAGACATTTGGGATCGCAGATTGAAAGTGGGAGGCGGGCTTATAAGAAATCGTTTTGTAAACGACCTCACTTTGTCGTACAGCATAAGATGACATTTCTGCGTCTGTGAAAGATCTAGCCTTGAGGGAACCTCCCGCAAACTTCCAAAACAGTGGTTCGAATGCATCTCCCTGCCATCAAGTTATGGACTGCCTGAGGCTGCTTAAATTCACTCATTGAATCCATGCGAACTATCAGGCTCTTTGTGAACTGATCTGTTTTAAGCTGAAATGAAACAAGCTGTGCATATGCGACTGTTTCAAGCAGTAATGCACAATGTGATTGTGCCATCACACCATGAACCACTAAATGTCGCATTGAAAAGAAATAACTGTGATCACCACCACCAGTACTTCTGCTGATTTCTCGTGTCGAATTAGTCTAGTTGAAGTCCTTTTATCATCAAAGACAACAACAGCCAAATTGTTGTGTTGAAGGCCCTTTTGTGAACCCTACAAAATTCCTGTAAGTTGGTCTTACAATCACACGCTGCACCAGTAGACTCCACCATCCTTCAGCATTGTTGCAGCTTGCGCAAACTAGCTAAGCTTGTAATCCGGACACGTGGTCAGGTCACGTTGTTCGTCATAAATAATACGTGTTTACTTTGTTAAATCGTGCTGTTTTTGTCCTAGTTCACATGCTGTACTTTTAGCAGATTATTTTAGCGTTATAAGATATGTGGTTGAGGCAATTTGTCGGTTTGGAATTTGGGTTTTTTAATTCTATTTATGGATTTCAGCCCAAGTCACGCGTAACTTTGTACCATCCGCCGTTAAAGCAACGGAACAGGTGGTAACGTGGTGTCATGTGATGCCTATAGTCATGCAGGCTGTGCCGTAAAAGCAACCAATCACACTTGGAAACTGTGAAGGCTCGCAGATGCTTTGGTGTTCCAGCACAATGCTACCCCAAACCGCCAATTTGTTTCGTCAGCTAGGGAGCATTTGCGCCGAAGATTATCATGGTCTTAAGTTGACAGACACCCCAAATTTTCAAGTTTGCTAAAAACTGGCAAAATCATCGTCCAATTAAATTCATTCCAGTGTAGTTTGTGTCGGTAAACGGCACAGCTCTTACCGTGAAGTAACATCGATTTCCGTGTATTTCATGAATCTGAGAGGGTAAATTCGCAGTCACAACTCAGTGAATAAGTGGTCAATCGATAATGCTGACAGGATGAAGTGCCATTTTGCGCTTAGAATCCTGGAGTCAATTGTTGTTTTCCAATTTTCGATTCATTATTGTTGAAAATGCTAGCTTAGCATTCTTGAATTACTTGATTAAAATTGAGATGTAATTATTTGCTTGAAATAAGGAAGATTTTCAGAAAATTCACTCACGCAAATACGAGAAGACTGGGAAGCGATGAGCACCGTCAATTATCTGGTTACGAGGAGTCTCTTGAGTGCTTTAGTGACGCACCTCAAATTCCTACTAAAACAAATTGGAGGTGTGATGTCAGTTGTGATAGTGATCATCATGCACGTTTCTGCCCTCCTATTGTTTGAGCACGCATCTAGCGGTTAACTTGTTCGGCATTTTTCATGAGTGCTTAATTATTTAATTTTTGTTGCCTTGAAGGTGATTTTGCGATACACTTAGTGGTTCAAGTTCAATTAGATTGTTAAGGTCACACCAATGATTTGTTTCAAACGACTGGACTGGTTCTTCTTACCTCGTTTGTTTATCCTATCAGGTTCAAGGTCAGTAGCAATTGTTCTGTGCGTTGACACGATCAAACAAAAACCGTCAGGGGATTTCAAAGTTAGTACCAAGATTAATTTTGGTCTTTTTGGCGAGGTTAAACGTCACTTATCGATAAATATTAGCCACCATAATACGCAAATCGATTGCAGGCGTTCGCAGATAAGCTGGTGACATTTGCTAAGGGCACATCCATGATTAGGCCAAAATCATGGCAAAAATTACTCCGCAGTATAAGGTTACTGGTAGATACCACACCGGGAAACACAGGGCGGTGCTTGACAGATTCTTTCAGGGTCAACTAGTTTTTGTTTTAATCACTGTGCCT